GACAAAACCGCTATTGCAATATTTTCCAATACGTATTGGGAAGTGTAATACCATGCATGATATAGTAACAATTGATGGTGCGAGAAGGAGCGGAGGGAAGAAGCTGGTGTGAGAAATGAAGAAGGAAGAAGGGAGAGGCGGTCGAAGAAGGAGGGAGAAGCTGGTGGAGAAGGAGGAGGGGAGAAGCTGTGGGAATGAGGAAGGCGGCAGAAGGGAGAGAGGTGAGAGAAGGAGGAGGGAGAAGCTGGTGGAGGAGGAGAGGGAGAACTGGTGGAAAGGGAGAGAAGGAAGAAGGTGGTGGAGGGACGGGGGAGAAGCTGGCGCGAAGAAGAAGGGAGAAGGGAGAACGTGCGTGGCGAGGGAGAAGAAGGCTGGTGGAGAAGGAGGGGAGAAGCTGGTGGAGAAGGAGGAAGGGGAGAAGGGAGAAAGTGGTGGCGAAGGAGGAGGGGGAGAAGCTGGTGGAGAAGGAGAAGGGAGAACTGGTGTGCGAATAAAGAAGGGCAGAAGGGAGAAGCGGTGGAGAAGGAGAAAGGGGAGAAAGGGAGAAGGTGTAGAGGAAAGAGGAGGGGAGAATGCTGCGTGAGGAGGAGGGGAGAACTGGGGAGAGGAGAAGCTGGGGAGAGAGGAGAAGGGAGCGGGGCTTGGTGGAGGAGGGAGAAGGAAGAAGCTGTGTGGAGAAGGAGGAGGGGGAGAAGGGAGAGAAGGTGGTGGAGGAAGGGAAGAAGCATGGTGCAAGAAGGAGGGGAAGAAGCTGGTGGAGAAGGAGAAGGGGATAAGGAGGGTCGGAGAAGGGAGCTGGTGGAGGAGGAGGGCGGAAAGGGAGAAGGGGATAAGGAGGGGGAGAAGGGAGGTGGTGAGGAGGTAGGGGGGAGAAGGAGAAGTTGTGGAGGGAGGGGAAAAAAGCTGGTGGAGAAGAAGGAAGGGGGAGAAGGTGAGAAGGTGTACAGAGAAGGAGCGAGGGGAGAAGCTGGGTGGAGAAGACAGGAGGGGGAGAAGCGAGTAGAGATGGAGAAGGAGAAGGAGCGGGAGAAGCGAGCTTGGGGAGAGGAGGGGAAGCCGGCTGAGAGGTAGGGGAGAGGGAGAGCTGAGGGGAGGAGGTGAGAGGAGAAGGTGGTTGAGGAGGGGTAGAAGCTGGTGGAGGAGGGGAGAAGCTGGTGGAGAAGAGGAAGGGAGAAGGAGGGGGCAGAAGGGAGGCTGGTGAGGAGGCAGAGGGGAGAAGCGGAGAAGGGATAAGAGTGGGAGAGGGAGGGCGGTGGAGGAGGGAGGGGAGAAGGAGAATTGTGGGAGGAGGGGACAAAGCTGGTGGGAGAAGGGAGGAAGGGGAGAAGGGAGAGGTGGTAGAGAAGGAGGAGGGAGAAGCTGGGGAGAAGGGAGGAGGGGGAGAAGCTGGTGGAGTAGGAGAAAGGGGGAAAGGAGGGGGAGAAGGAGCTGGTGGAGGAGGAGGGGAGCAAGGGAGAAGCTGGTGGAGGAGGAGGGTGGAGAAGCTGGTTGGACGAAGGCAGGAAGGGAGAAGCCAGGGGAGGAAGCTGTGCGAGAAGAGGAGGGGCTGAGAAGGGAGATCTGGCTGGAGTAAGGAGGGGGAGAAGCTGATGGAAGAAGGAGGAGGCTTCGACCAGCCTTCTCCCCTCCTTCTATCCACCACGCTTCTCCTTCTCCCCTTCCTCCCGTCCCACCAGCAACTCCCTCTTTATCCCCTCCTTCTCCCCTTCCTCCTTCTCACCAGCTTCTCCCCTCCTCCCTGTCTCACAGCTTCTCTCCCTCCTGCCACCACCTTCTCCCCGCCTTCCTGGTCTTCGCCAGCTCGCCCCTCCTTCTCCACCACCTTCTGGGCTTCTCCCCTTCCTCTTACTCCACCAGCTTCTCCCTCCTCCATCCACCAGCTTCTCCCCTCCTCCTTCTCCACCTGCTTCTCCCTTCTCCCCTTCCTCACTTCTCCACCAGCTTCTCCCCCTCCTCCTTCGCTCCACCACCTCCTCTCCCCTTCTTTCATTAGCGCCGTTCAACACGTACCTAAAACGCCGACCGTTCTCGAAAATCGCGTATCTTACGGACTCCGTACGATACGGGGCGTATGCGTGACCTTGAGTTAAACAGGCGTTCACACATAGTTTTGGAATGTACGTTCACGTCGGTTATAGCTGGCGCATAGGGGCGAAAGCGAAACGATAGATTACGCCAAAATGCGTTGAATAGGTTCGTGCTCTTTTGTATCACTCTCTTTTCTTTCTGTGTCCCATCTCTGTGTGTTGCGCGGCCCCTCTCTTCTCCTCTCTCGTCTCTCCTCTCTCTCTCTCTCTCCTCCTCTCTCTCTCTTCTCTCTCTCCCTATCTCTATGGCGTCTCCCCCTTCTCTCCCTGTCTCTCTCCTGTCTATTGTGTCTCCACCTCTCGCAACTCCCTCTCTAATTCTATGCGGTCTCCTCTGTCTCTGTCTTTCTCTTCTCTCTCTCTCTCTCTCTCTCTCTCTCTCTCTCTCTCCTCTCTCTCTCTCTCTCTCTCCTCTCTCATTCTCTCTCTCGCCCACAAAGCGTGTCGCGGTGAGCGCGGTACTAGCTATAGCCGGTCGTTCACACGGTCCGCTTATAGCGTATTAGCTATACGAAGTACAGTAGGGAAACGCATCATTTTGTCAGCAGATAGATGATACGCGTTTCGAACTGAGTATAGCTATACGTGGTCGTTCAGACGACGGGAATTTATCGCGAGTACGTACGAAAACTTTTTTCTATTGAAGATCAAGAAGATCATTACTTATGTTCTCACTTGCTCTAACTCAGTAACTGACATCCAAGAATATCTTGGACAACCAACAGTGTGAGAATTCTTGTGCATTCGAAGACCGGCACTTTACCTAACATATTTGGTTGAGAGTCACTACTGAGCACCATGCCAGCATCGCTAAGAAGCTGACAGAAAATTGATCCATCCGATAAAGCCTTTCCCATGCTGCTCGATCGACGTCGCTTCTTAACTGCAACAAATCAACACGAGTGTCATGACTAACAATAACTTGTATTTGTAAGTTGTATTCTGAATGAGCACATTAATTTTACACACACACGCACACGCACGCGCACGCGCACACGCACACGCACACGCACACACACACACACACACACACACTGAAAGTGACAGAAACTATATGTTTCCCCTATATTTAACCCCTATTTATATATATAACAACTACAACTATCTATCTATCTATCTATCTATCTATCTATCTATCTAACAACAAACTATATGTAACCCCTATTTATATATATAACACTTTTTTTTTCGCCTCAAGTCCCTGTGGTACTAGCGTCAGATCATAACAATTTCTAGGCCAAGATACGATTATCAAAATGAGACCGATTTATCACATTTAGTGAAAATACATGTACACAGCAGCACATATACATCTGTGTATGACACTGTATGTGTGCCCTAAAATGTCACAATGCGAAAATCGTACACACATGCACTTGGAACTACTTAACTGTGTGGAATATTGCCAAATTATAAACATTTGAAATTCGTACCACATGCCATTCCCTTTTGATTACCTATCGTCATCGTCGTCACCATCAGTTGAAACGCCACCTGGCGATAAATTTGTATATCGTGTTTATTTATACAAAATGGTTTGCAAATGTTTTGTAGGTGATTTACTAATACAACACTACATGGCGTAGCGGCACGTTATGTGAACAAACAAGCATATGCGTTTGTATGCTACTGTCACCTGTTCTGAACCTTCTAACTACGTAGGTACTTGACTGATTTAATGGTGGTACGAATGCGATCGCTTTCATGTTCACCGCCATCCGTCCGCGGCGTATTGTGTAGACGCATGTTTATCACTTTATGAATGAATCATTGAATTTGATTGACTGCTTTCAGGTACTTGCGTCACGGTTTGATATATCGTCATGACATTCGACTTCGACATACGTAGTTTCATTCAGCATATCCAGGCAACGAAGCCGCCGTATGAGTGTCCCATCCAGGTATATTATTATTAATATTAATTATTATACCGTTTGTTTGTTGCCTGATCAGTCACTGAGTCAGACCAAGTCAGTCACTTCAGACTCAGTCAGTCAGTTCCACAGTGTCAGTGTTGATCTATATAAAATTTTATCAACTTTGTCTCTTTCTGTCTTCGTTATAGTCCCTTTGACTTTAAAGACTAATAATATTGAGGATGGCAATAATAGATACCTGTAACATGTCGATTCCCAGCAGTAGTTTTATTAGACTATCCTGCATTCCTCCTCTAGCACTGAAACCAAACACACGTGCACAGCGTAAAAAAAACTATCCCGGTCATCGGAATAGCAGGGCAAAAAATTAGCCAAATTGTTAACAGGCCCACCAAAAATTTTAAACAGGCCCTTAGACAAATTGAACAGGACCTTACAAGCTTGAACCGGTCCCTTATTTTATTAAATTTATTCCATTATTAATAAAAGTATTAGCTTTGTGTTTAGCAGGCATACTCGTAGTATTTCAGTATTTCATTGCTATAACTGGAGTTCTACTTGTTTGACAGGAATTGCTGGAATATGATTTACTTCTTAGTAGTCACTAAGTAAAAACTAGTCAGGAAATTGGTAAATGTTGTTGATATAAAGGCAAGATACTTGAAGATAGGCAAAATTTTGAATAGACCAAGTGGACTGATTATATGGGGGGTTGAACCGGCGTCCACCGGCAAAATAGCGCTAATTTCGCACACTTGAATAGACTTCATTAGTTTTTTTGCGATCACAAAATATAGTTGGGTTCATATAAGAAATATATGACCGGACGCGTAGCCTGGGAGCTGGGAGTCCGGTAACCGGACGCGTAGCCACGGCCAATATTTTAATGAGTGCAACCCACATAGAGTCAATCCCTGTCTAGAAAGGACAGTTTTGACAGTTCCCCTTGAATGACCATTATAATATACAGGTTAGACTGTTTAATGCCTGTCTGTATGATCACTATTCATTAAATCAAGAGCATATTAAGAATGCTTAGCCACGCTTAAGAATGCTTATGCATTCTTAATATGCTCTTGATTAAATGAATATGGTTCTGACCAGAGTCAATTCAGCAGTTGGTCCATCTTTACTACGTTTGCATTTTTACTTAGCTATGTGTCAGAAATTTATAAACCTTGTAGTGCAGTCGGGAGACGTGGACGTTGGCATCAACGAATTTCGAAACCTGCAAAATTAAAATCACAGTGAGTTGTAATGAGTTGAATAG